TGTATGAGAGAGAGAGGGGGAGAGAGGTGGCAAAGTAAGATACGAGATGGAAAATAATTGGAGAAATCATCGAACAAGGTCCTGAGCTATCCCATCGAAGAGACAAAAAACAAGAACAAAATCCGCAGCTAAATCTTGTTTAAGGACTCACAGAAAAGGACGCCACGAGAAAAATTGGAAACACAAGTGGCTCGTGTCTTTGACTCCTTCAAGTTGAAGACATTGAATTTTTATGGAGTTAAATAATTTAGCGTACTACAACTCCCCTTCTTGTAAGTTAAGGAACCAACTAATCCCATTCCCAACATAAATTTGGAGATCATGCTTATCACCTACAACTTGGTCAACCACTTAAACACATTACTGCCTGCCCACATAACTATTAACTAAACTCCAACAATTAACGTCAAATCATTTTGCTAATAATCCTATCTATCAAGCCGGCCAACTACAAACTCATTAATTTCCCTGGAATTAATATTTTATACAAATCCACTGATATTAAAAAAAACCATGCTGCCCTAGATAGAATTGTATAATTATCTCGGATTGGATGCCTTGGAATTTTGAATTCAAACAATCTAGTGGGAGAATAGTCGCTAATTGTTTGTTTGTTTTGGATGTTTTCTGTTGTTTAAGTCGTCCATCCCTCTCTCCTACTGATTTTTATAATACATGAACCTCAACCCAATCTCCTCCACAGAAAAATATTGTAATTTACTCCCGTAATTCTAGATTTTTTGTTATTACGTTTTAATAACACTGCCCCGATTGATCCACTTTTATAATTTATTGGTCACAACCTTGAGTTGAAACTTGGGACAAATTATTCGGTAACAACTTCTGAGGCTGCTTTCACCAATTTGAAGCACTTACGTAATCGTAACACTAATGAAATCGAATCCTTACGATCAAGTGAGTGCTTCAAATTAGTGCCAACTTTCATTATAACTAAGGAGAGGTAACTGCACTTTAAGGTGTAATATTAATAATAAATTATGAAACCCTAAACACTCTCAGCCAATTTGGGTTGCTTTATTAAGTTATTAAACTCCTAAGGGCTTGCCGGAATGAGAATCAATTTATATATATTTGAAAAAATAAGAGGGGATAATTATGGATCCGAATTCACGCAATAATTGGGGAAAGTGAAAGAGCAGAGAGAGAGAGAGAGAGGATAAGTAAAAGTCACTCGGTTTCTTTAATCATTCCATTTCATGTAGTTTTTTTATTTCTACTTTTGATCGACATATGTAGCTCTATAGTTGGATATAGATGGGAACTTACAAGTGGGGCATAGAGTGTAAGACTAAAGATGGATAAATTGAACTCAATTGGTCTTTGAGTCTTGACCAATATTCCAAGTTAACCTAACCACACGCATATATTTTTGGTCTTTTTGAAACCAAATCGGCTTCGTTGATCGCGGGTGCCATTTTGACATGATGGATGATGGATGATGGCTTAGGAAGGAAGAGCAGGAGCAGAGGAGGTTGGCAACAACAACACGGCCCATTCTTTGTCCCTACGATGTACGGACCCCACTCCCCTCCCCCTCCCCCTCACGATGCTTTATAGATAGGGCCCCACGTCCCACCTAGCTAGGGCAGGAAGGGAGAGACACGTGGGCCCCGTAGCATGACATGAGTGGTCGACATCACTTCTTGAGATCCACGTCATTTCCCAACTTAATCCACCTTTTAAAATTTTAATTAGTTGCATGATAACCCCTCTTTGCTTAAACTGCCATTCTTCTTCCTGTGAATCTGTCATTAGAAGTTTATTAATTAAGATTAGACACCCGCTCTCGTTTAGAAATCTAGAAAGAAAGGTTTATTGGTGCCATCACAAACACAATGAGAGAAACTCTCATGCAACGGGAGTTTTACAACAAGAATAGCAAAACAATGATATCTCCATTACGATTAAGTTTTTTTACACCATCACGCCACATACGAAGTCTTACAACTACAACTACAGATCCTATTTATTTTGTATTAATTGCTACAAACTATTGCCTGTTTGAAGAGTCAACTTCAGGAAAATGGCACGCCTGCCAAGACTTTCTCGCATTTTCATTTTCATTTCTTAAAAAACAAAATTAAAAAGTTGGTCCTTTTTCATATAATAAAATCAACCTAGTTAATTATAAAAATTATTTGATAAAATTCAATGAGGGCATGATTCATGTTCTCCCATTATTTTAATAACTTAATTCGTACGAATTAAAACTGGGGCAAAGCTGAGAAAACTACTTATCAACGTCACTAATCGAGATTAAGAGAAATAATTAATACTTAATTATAATGCGATGTAACAGCAATGGGGGACCTTGCCGAGGTTCTTACCTTTTATTTTTTTCTGTTTTGATCTAGACGTTTCTACGTTCCTTGTGCTGACCACAAATCTCCGTTTCTTCTCAAGATTCTTTCCATAGCGGTTTTTTCAAAAGAGTTATGATTAAGTTCAGGGGGTTTTAATCAGTTTTTAAGGAGAGAGCGTCTAATGATTTGGTCAAAACCTAAATGTCCAGAAGAGAGTGCCAAATTTTTGACTTTGGAAACGAGAACTACACCACACCACACTCTTCGCAGCCAGCCTGCCTGCCTGCTGATAATTAACAAGTTGCCAAAGCTGGCTTTATTTATCTAATTAAGTTACGTGTCACGTGATCATTGCTTTTTCTATGACTATAAATCACTAAACAAAGTAAGGGATTTGTCGCGTAAGTGGTTTAAAGTATTATTTTGGACATGATATCCTCTCGTCAACTCTCATTCTTGAAATATCGCATGTATTAAACAAAATTAATGATAATAAGCCACTGAGTAAAATTACAACTCCAATTTTAAACCCCAAATAAATAAATAAAATAAGGTAAGACAAAGTAACATTGTTGTGAAAACTAGGGTAAAAGTGAAAGCGTGAAAAGAGCAATTGAGTTGGGTTAATTTTGCTTGTCATTATGGCTATGGCTTCTGTTCACGGAGGAACAGGGATCGTGTCTCTGATTGTTGCCGTAAGGGTTTAGCTTTTTCACAGTTTTACGGCGCCGTTACTGTTACATAGCTTTCGATCAAAGATTTCCTTTCTATTCACACCTTTACTGGTCTGGCCACAATTTTACAGGCTGACCCAAAATAGTTATAAAAAAAATCATCCTGAAAATAAAAAGAAATAATGGATCCAATTTGTAGATCAATTACCTGTAATTTCTCATCTACAATTATATTTACTAGTCATTTATCTTCATGATATGCAAAGGACATTACGAAATAAATTATGCCCTAATTATGTTATTATTTTTTTTTTTGGGTGAAACTTTTATAAGTAGGTTAATTTACAATCATAATCTTTTGGACTACAGAGGTCCAAGAGATTTGTAGTCACTCACCGTTGGATGAAAATTCAACCGTTCACTCACTCTTGGACTTATTTTAAGAAACTTTTTTGAATCGTTAGATTAATATCCAACGATGGGTGACCACAATCTCTTGGACCCCGGTAATCTAAGAGATCGGGGCTAGTTAATTTGAATATCTGATCGTAACGATTAAGTTGGGATACTTTACTAAATAATGAAGATTTCATGCTTTGTTAAAGCATTCGATTCCATTTCAGATTTCGTAATATTTATTCCGTATATGCATGATATAAATGTGTATACAATTGAGTTTTATACTCATAAAAAAATAAATAAAAAGAAAGGTAAAGTTAATAAGACGTTAAAGAAACAATTGGTTTCAACTTGAAGAGTGGTAAAACTCACATACGACAATCCTTGGGTCTTGTTCAAATGGATAATTCCAACGCCCAAAATTCACCGTATGTCAGCAAGTCTGTCTTGGCAAAAAAATTTAAAATATGATATAATCCCAACAGCATGAGGAAAAAAAGAAAAAAAACACACACGTCAACCAAAAAAATAAAAAATAAAAAAAAGACAAAGAGATAAATCCTGGAAAAAAGAAAAAGGGAAAAAGACAAGTAAAACAAAGAAGAGTAACTGAACCTGTGTAAGTGGTGATTCATACGTTTGACCTTCATTTGGCTGGGTCTTCTACGAGTGCGCAGATTTTGCTACCTGAAGTTTGTTAAAAAGACAGCGATTTCCCCGTCCTCACACCGAACGCGTATCACCCACGCTCCATCAGACGAAGTGCGCCAGTGGATTGACACGCGAGTTCAGGTGTTTTTACCGTGTGTGAAATTTGTAAATAACAGGGGAGTAACCCCCAAGTTTAGGTTTTTTACCGGTAACAAAAGTAACTGCCTTGGACACGAATTAGAGATAAAATTATTGAGATATATTTTTAGGGGAAGAAAGAAGAGAAAAAGAGTGAAAAAAAAGACAGCCACCTGACCTGTACCAACAACAACAAACATTTAAAAAGGAATCAGAGCAGATACAGGGGAAAAAGGCTCTCGCTCTCTCCCTCTCTCTCATCATCTTCATCTCCATCTTCATCTTCTTCTTCTCTCATAAATAAATTTTTATTTCTGAAAAAAGAAAAAAGAAAAAAGAAAACAGAAAAAAGAAAAAGAGTGTGTGTGTGTGTGTCTGTGTGGGGGTGGGTTTGGGTTTGGGTTTGGGTTCAAACTTCAAAAGCGTGCAGACAAGGGAGAAGGATTTTTATTTCTTTCTCTCTCCCTCTCTTTAAATTTATTTATTTTCTTTAAGTACAGGGGAGAGTGAAAAGCCAAAACAAACCGACGAGAGACAGACGAACGGATCTGGGTCAACTCCGTTTGACCGTAAATACGAACAACTCCAGGGGCCGAAGTTGTGAATAGGGACGTTATGTTTATTAAATGTGTGTTTTAGTAGTCGCTTCAAATATATTTATATTTATTTGTTAAGAAAGGAAGAGGGGAGAGAGAGAGAGAGAGAGCGCATTCGGCTGTGTGTCGTTGCTGCTTTTGGTTTTGTTCTTGGCTTTTCGTATATAAGGCCCTCACTTGGCTTTCTCCATTTCGTAATCTCTCTCTGAGCCATAAACATGAGAACAAGGGGTGGGGTTTGCTATCCTAGAGTCGGAGGAGCAGGAGATGTGTGCTTTCAGAAGAAGAGGAAGAAGGACTTCGCCGGAGAACGCTGTGTCTGTCGGAAACGGAATAAAATCTCGCCGGAGACAACTACCGGCAGAGAACGCGCCTCCTCCTCCTCTTCGTCGACGGCGTCGGTCGATTTGTTCGACTCTTTACCCGACGACCTCCTCATTCTAATTCTCTCCAAACTCAGCTCCACCGCCAATTCCCCTTCCGATTTCATCAGCGCCTCGATAACGTATGTTTTCAATCCTGAAATTTTCCTAATTTCCCTCTTGTTTTGTATTTGGAGGAAATTGTTTTTCAGTTGGGAGGTTAGAGATACGTGGTGTGTGGTGTGGAGTGTGTCTTTTTAATTTCTTTTTTTCTTTTTCAAAAAATCTAACGGAAGTAACTGATAATTGGATTGGATGGTGTGAATTGTTGTTAACAGATGCAAGAGATTAAATGGTTTAGCTCTCCATTCTCTGGTGGTCTCCAAAGCTTCACCGAAGACGTTCGTCCTCAAAGCCAAGAATTGGTCCGAGTCGGCTCATCGATTCTTAAAGCTCTGCGCCGATGCCGGCAACGTCGAGGCCTGCTACACTCTTGGCATGGTCAGTTCACTCTCAGAAACACCCCACCAAAAAAATTCTCATTAATTTGAATTAAATCCAGTTTTATGAACATTCCTTCACATTATTATTTGTTATTAATTTATTAATATTCCTCATCTCTGCAGATTCGCTTCTATTGTTTGCAAAACCGAGGGAGCGGAGCCTCGCTCATGGCCAAGGCGGCGATTGGCTCTCACGCGCCGGCACTCTACTCGCTCGCTGTCATTCAGTTCAACGGCAGCGGCGGCTCCAAAAACGACAAGGACCTCCGGGCTGGGGTAGCGCTGTGCGCGCGTGCAGCGTTTCTTGGACACATCGACGCGCTGCGCGAGCTCGGCCACTGCCTGCAGGACGGTTACGGAGTCCGTCAGAACATAACGGAAGGGAGACGGTTTCTGGTCCAGGCCAACGCGCGTGAGCTGGCAGCGGTTTTGTCGTCCGCGGCAGCCTCGGGAGTGCCCATGCGGCAGCTGCTGACGTGGACCCCACTCCCGCACCCACATCCTCATCCTCATCCTCAGCTGGGGCACCTGACCGGGTCGGGCTGCCCGCTGCTTAGCGACTTCGGGTGCAACGTGCCCGCTCCGGAGGTGCACCCGGCGAACCGGTTTTTGGGAGAGTGGTTCGCTGCTCGGGACGGTTCGCCTGGACCGGGTTTGAGGCTTTGCTCGCACGTGGGGTGTGGGAGGCCGGAGACTAGGAGGCACGAGTTTCGTCGGTGTTCGGTGTGTGGGGCCGTGAACTACTGCTCACGTGCCTGTCAGGCGCTGGATTGGAAGCTGCGCCACAAGGCTGAGTGCGCCGCCGTGGAGAGGTGGGTGGATGAGGAGGGTGATGGTGCTGACGGTGACGGACCTGTCAATGGGGGTGATGACGAAATGAGCTGAGTTAAAAAAAAAAAAAAAAAAAAAAAAAAAAAAAAAAAAAAATCGACGACGACCGTAACGGTAACGGTAACGGAACTCGGAAAATGTGGAAAATTAAGACCAAGCGGAAAAAAGGAAAAAGGGAACGAGGCCGTTTTTGTGGAAATATATGTCAAGTTAATTATGGCCGTTGGAAATTTTGTTCACCCTTTGTTGTACAGAGGGGGATCTTTGAGGGGAAGCAAGGGGCTTTTTTCTTTTTCCTGTGGTTTTTTTCCTTTTTCTCTTTTTTTTTTCTGGGTACTATAGAGCAACTCTAGCCTTAATTTCGGTTAAACAAATATCCAAAATTCATGAAAATTCAAATGTTCTTTCTTCTGTTGTTCTTTTGGGGTTACATTTGTTTTCACAAAAATTGCTCAACTGTAGTTTTGGTAGTTGTGAGTTTGGTCGCTGGGTCTTGGGAATGGGAAATTTCCAAGGTTTAAAATTTTTCCAAAAATACTTGATTTGGATGCATAACACACCAAAGCTACCATAGCTAAACTTTCCCATTTCAAAAATGTTATTTGTATTTGGATGCAAATGTAAATCTGAGAAATTGGGTTAACTTTAGGGTAAAGTTATGGTGTGTTATCTTGGATGCAAAAGAAAGGGAAATTAGATTCGAAATTCGGATTTACAGCTCATGGAGTAATTACTTTGCATGAGTGCATGAAAGGAAGAGAGAGAGAGAGAGAGAGGAAGCAGCGATGCCAATGAGCAAGTTGTTGTTGTGCTTGTGAGGCAGACACCAAATGAGCAAAGTTTAATTATCGCCTTCTTCTTCTGCTGTTCTGCTTTAGCTTTTTCACTTGCTTTTAGGTGGTCAAAAGGAGTCAGAAACATTTAAGTGATTGACCAAGAACAATAAAGAAAAAAGTTAAAAAAGAAACGAATTTAAAATTTAAAAAATCAAAATGAAAAAGGAAAGGGGAATTGAAGTTAGTGGCAGTGGGGAAAAAGATATGCAATTTGCTAGTGGTGGGTGTATGGCTGTTTTTGGTGCGAGTCATTTGGGTTCACAGAACCAATTCAAGTGGGGGAAAAATTAAAACAGCATCAACTCGTCCTCCTTGTGGGAGCGCACTTGGCATGCAACTTTTTCCTTTTTTCTTTTTACAATGCAATATAATATTTTTAACTACTCTAATGTACGGAAAAAGGATCGAACTTGAGTGCGGTATACACACTATTTTGGCCAACTGACCTAATTCACGTCGTCTTTTTTCCTTTTTCTTTAGGCTAAAATAAAACCTTTGATATTGAGTGGGTGGTCCAACTCCAAGCCCTTGTTGAAATCAGATGGGTTTCAAATTTATATCAAGCAATTAAATTGCAGATATAAAACCTTTAATTGTAAGTCATGGTCACATGGCGAAGTTAAGTGTTTGCTAGGTTTTTAAGAATAGCGGGTGAAAAACCGAAGGGTGTAGACTACAGAGCTGAGCAGGTGACCCAGCTTTGCTGCTTTGCAAAGTCTGAATTTTGGTCTAAAGGCAAGTACAAAATGACGTTCACTGCTCTCAAAACCCTTTTGTCTGATTGTCTGAGAGTTTCCAAAGACGAAACAGATCTCATTTGAATATATAGAATCTTATTACCGCTCTTAGGAGCATTGGAAATTTAAAAGCCAAAAACAAAAAACAAAAAACAAAAGAAAACAAAGTGTATGTAACTGAAACTTTTATCTCCATGTATGTAGTGGATGTCAGCCTTGAAAATATATTTGTCTCAACTGAATGATACATGAACGTCACTCTGTTTTTGCTGTTGCTGTTTGCTTCTCTTTGATCTGTTGTTAAGAACTTCAAATTTATTTTTGTTGGTTGGAGTTAATTGTATGCTTTTTTTAGCCATTTGACATGGAAGTTTTCTGATGCAAAGGCTAACAGTTTCTTCAAAAGATGATGCCCATTCAATGCCCATTCAATGCCCTTCTGCCTACTCGAACTCCTCCTTTTGAGTTTCGACTACCTAAATAAGCAAAAACAGTCACTGTTTTTGAGGGCTTCTTGTTGGCTAAATCAGTGCTTCTTGTATAGTAGGGGTGGGGTGGTAGCTAAAAACTTGTGGGTATAGTTTGGGAAGCTCTGCTCAAATTCTTGAATGTGTTTGGTTAGAAATGGGAATGGCCAGCTGTATCAACAATACCAAAAGAAATAAAAGAAAATCATAAGCTGTGGACCGATCTTACCTTAATCACTAAGCTGTGGACAATGTAATCATTGGTGAGTATTATAACAATCGCTATGTGACGGATGATTTCAATAGTAAATTTACTTACTCACTTATGGCAAGAATTTTACTCTCATTCTCTGTTTGTACCGATAAAAAAGAAAGAAAGAAAAGGGTTCATAATTTGAGCTCTAACACTTGTAGTGCAAAAGAAAGAGATATTAGTTGATTAGGTTATCAGTCTTAAAGAAGATTAACAAGTTTTCAATTTAAGATCGGATGATGGCTTCTCGCTGATTAAAGAAGAAAATAAATCACAAAAATACATGGTTACTATGTTCAAATTCTAAATTCACCCAAAGTTCTTGGGCCAATTGAAGTTTTTGCATCGGCCCAAAGAAAAAATAAAAGACGCGGGTAAGCCTTGGCCCAAGAAAATACAACCCGTAAATAAAATAGTCTGAAAGGAAAAAGAGAAAGTTTTATTTCTGCTGCTTTGATTTGACCCCTAAAAAATCGTTGCCAAACACGGTGAGTGAGCTGCGTAGGAAATTTGTAAATCAAGCACCAGGTAAGCTCCCCAATCGATTCTTATCTTCAATTCTGTTATAATTTTTGCTTGAATTTCATTTTATTTAGTTTAATCACAGCTTAGATCGGTTTCTGAACCAGTTTCTTACAGTACACATCTGGAAATTTCCAGTTCGCGAGTTTTCGATCAGTATGGTTGCCTAGAAAATGTTAGAGAAGAAAAGAAAGTACCAGAACCCTATACAATCTAATAGCTGAATCGGCTTTCCTGCGAATAGTTTAAATTGTATAAAATTAGGGTTTGTGGAAACACTGATCAGAGCTAAGTTTTTTTAGGTTAACGTTTTTCAGGGAGAGTGAGAAGATGGGTTTTGTAATGGAGTTTGCTGAGAATCTGATACTGAAGCTAATGGAGGACCCTAAGGAGAGGGATAGGAAATTCAGAGAGCATGTGTATGCGGTGAAGGACCAGTGCAACAAGACCAAGGAGATGTGGGCCCTACCTCTCCGTCCCTATGGCTTTTGGACCTTCGAGCGCCACAATTCGCAGCTTCGTTGGGATGCCCAAATTAGCCAGGTTGCCGGCCGGAGGGACCCCTACGATGATCTCCTTCAACACAGCACTGACCCTGTCTCCTCCAGAACTAAATGAGTGCATATAAGGTTTGTTTCTTTGACAGTTTCAAGGACATTGTGGGTTTCTATTTCATGATTGGGATTGTGTTGAAGCTCTTTGGAATGTTGTTGTGGCCTCTGAGAGAATTTTGCCCAATTTTGTCTTTGGAGGTTTCTTCATCCAAAGGCAATGCTAAATGCTCAAAAGCTTGTGCTTAGGAGAGTGCATTTTGGCATTGCACTTGTCATTGAAGCATGCGCTATATGATTGCTTTATTGTTGTTGGTTCTAAATTTTCCCATTTCAAAAATCTTATTTGTTATTGATATGACCCTTCTCCTAGTTAAGGATCTGGTTCTTTTGGATGGAAACTTTCTGCCGTAGGTTAGGAACCATCATTTTCCCTAACTGTTTTAGCATAATTAGAGAAACACTGTCGGTTTCGTTTGCATTATAATCATTTTTATGCACTATATACGTTATGTAAAAGAGAGTAAAAGATTACGTTTCCTTGCATTTGCGTTCTAATCACTGTAATATGATTTCTTCAGGCTTTCCCAACCTTGAAAATATTAGTGTTTTGAGATCACAAGGTGTGTTTGATATTTTATGGGATGAATGATGCTCATTGGTTTTCTTTCCTTGTTGCAGTTGCATAATCACTTGGAGGTTTCTGTTGCAGTTGGAATTCAGTGTTGCTGCAAAAATGTTGTTTGGTTTTATTGCTTTCCTCAAGACTGGTCTCTGTTTGAATAAGAGTCCGTGTAACTGTTGTGTTGTGGATGAACTCCTTTTCACTTCATGTGGATTCTCTCAATTTTTTTATATATTTGGTACCAATCTAGGGATGCCATTGGCTTTGGTTCGGGCTTATGCAGACAATACGAAATAAAAGAAGTTTAATTAGGAGCAATGTCAAGGGCAGCCTTCCCAACTTACCTAACAATTGAGTTTCTACCAACATTCTTCTTGTAATTGGATAGTTTGGACTTCAATCCATGGATCGAGCTCAAAAGAAAAATTGTTAGTAACGCGTTCGAAATCAATGCAGATTGTAATTTCCCTGTGGGGTATTATTATAACTCGGTTGATCACATTTGTCATGATTTTTCGTCTAGGCCCAAATTTTTTATTAAGAACATTTTGACATTCTTGATTTCTTCGTAGTGCAAAAATATTACTATTGAGACCAGATTATCAACAGTGAAGAATATGATTTTCCTCACACTCGAGACTGATAATTTCTTGATTTTCCCCTTCCGTCCACTCACACTCCCTTTTATTTTTCAATACATTTTACTATAAGAGCATCTCCACCCACAAGGGCTAAGTCTAGGGCAAGGGCAAGCAAGGGCTGCCACTATTCACGTGAATAGTGTCAGCCTTTGCATTTGTGGTTCCACCCATGAGGGCAAAGTCTAGGGCAAGTCTAAGGCAATTACTATTCATTGTACTTTATTTCCTATTTTTTTATACTTTAAACCATTAATTTTGATAAGCTTTTTAGATTATATTTTCGGTTGTCACGTATCACTATTTATATTTTGGATGAAGATTTGGTGTGGAAAGTGAATAAAATTGTTAGGTATTTATAGGGAAAACATCCAGAATTTTTTGGAATTTTTTTAAAAAAAATTTGAATTTTTTTGCAATTTTTTATGCCATTTGTTTTTTTTTATACAAATGGAAAGTAGTAGAAAAATGTGAGGGAAAAAATAAAATGGTTATGTATTTATAGGGAAAAAATACAGAATTTTTTGGTATTTTTTAAAAAAAAATCAGATTTTTTTCGATTTTTTTTGCAATTTTTTTAGCCAAAAAAACGAGGACTGTCGGATTGTTGGAAAAAAAAAGGATCGAAGAGTCAGGGTTGCGACACGTGGCACAGTACTGTGCGATGATGTCACTCTGACGTCATCGAACTCGGGCTGAAGCCCAATGGAAACTTGCCCTTGGGCTTGCCCGGGCTGGTGGGACCCAGGGCTTGCCCGGGCTGGAAGTGCAGCGCTGGAGCTGTTTTGGGCTATCTGGGGGGGCCTTTTGCCCGACTCTGTGCCTGCGGTGGAGGTGCTCTAACATACAAGATAGCGTAAGCGAACAAAAGAAGAGTTTAGAAAATCAGCGTCCTTCAAAAAAATATTGAAGAACTTAAAGCCAGTACGTCAAAAATACTGCTTTTCATTTTGCTTCCACAGGCCACTCATCCACACATGCAAATGCACTCATTTTTCATCATATTAAACCTAGTAAGCAACAGGGCAATCTACTTTGTTGAAGAAACTTCCAACAGATATTGAAGAAGCTATCCAAGAAGGTCTTAATATGCACCGGAACTAGAGAGCCGATATCTTAGACACGTGCATGCCATTGTAGGCTAAACCATTTCATAACTCGAAAAAAGTTTAGAGCTAGAAATCATTTACATAGTTGCTAGCTAAGCTAAGTAGATCAACATTTCTTCACCCACGAACCCTATATTAAATTTCTTAAATACCAACCGACTTGTAGAAGCCAACGAAAGATTGTAACAACCTGAGGCAGAGACTCATTCAATCTGAATCGGAGGAATCAGAGGAATGCTCGACATGCACAGCCGCATCTTCTTTCTTCTTTGCCTCACCCTTCTCAACTGCTTTGGATATCTCATCAATCGGAACCAAGGGTAAATAGCCGAAGATGGCATAACCCTTCCGAGTGAAGTCCTTTACGGTGTGGTTGTATTTGTCGGACCAGTGGGCAGCAGTTGGTGCAGCCTTCTCTGCCACTTTGTGGATGGAAGGATACTGGTTCAGTCCAACCCACAACTTCACAGATTGGTTTAGGACAAACTGCTTATATTCTGTAGCTGCATAATGAATTGCTGAGCGCGGACCCCCAGTTTGAGCCTCTTTTACAAACTTCTGGCCTTTTTCCACTGTTTTTTGGATCAAAACATGTGCTTGGCTCGCAACCTGCTTAGCCAATGGAGGAGCATGCTTATCAAACTTGCCTGCGGCTTGATCTACCTGTGAAAATAAATAAACAAAACGATTAATATTTTCAGAATATGTCAATTGCTTTAAAAAAAAGAAAAACTTACCCATACCTATGGACATCTATGAACCCTTCATCAAAATCGATTATTTATGAATGTAAGACAGCACAAGGGCACAGAACACGAACTACCGTAAAAGAAACTGTAGAACATGTAACCTATGACTCCTTAACCAAAGGTACTAGGATCATTAAGTGTTTGTTACCAAAAAGATAATTGGTCAGAAGCATCAATTATCCACGAAAGTTCGGCAATGGTCCTTGAATGATCTACTCTATCATTCTCATTACAATAGATACCACGGGGCTAGTAAGAATCAGGGCACAAATCCGGACACAAAACACCACACCACAAGTAAAGACCGCGGGCACAAGCAAAAGCACAAACATGTGTTCAAACCAGCCAGATATCACTCTTAACATCGATTCACAAAGGATATCAGCAGGACCATAACTTTTACTTTGATCCGACACAAACATCTATTTCCCAAAAACACATCATCTTTTTAATCTAATCCGAGGGCAACAAGTAGAGGAATTTGAAAGCAACCTTGACAACTTAACTTATCAATTCACCGCATCAGGAAAAAAACCCAAAAAATTTGTAAACAATTACTGATTATCATCATCATGAATATGTCATTTCAGGTAAACTAAAACAAAACAAATCAATTGCTCGTTTCCATCTAATTAATTCAAATATCAACAATTTTATTACATTTCATTGTAATTAGAAAGGAAAATGACAGAGTACCTTGGTGTCGAGAAAAGCAAGGACATCGTCAGGGACGCCCTTGAATTTCCGGTAAACAGGACCAACAACGGCGGTGACAGCACCCTCCACAGTCCCAACCGTCGATCTCAGAGGCCCGGAGTTCTGCTTCGCGTAATCGTACAGATACGACACGCACGCCAGAGTGTGAATCGCCGCAACCCTAAAAATCCCTAGGTGCTTCAACTCTTTCTCCTTGTTGATCTCTATCCCTTTCTGCAACAACAAAAATTCAGAAAAACAAAAAGTTGCTTAAGATCCAAGCAAACAAACACAGAGTTGTGCCAAACAAGAAATCCAAAAATGAAGAAGTAGGAGACTCGAAACTCAATTACCTCGCTGCTGGCGGTGGCCATTGTTTTCTCTTTGCAAGTGAGATCACGAATAACAAGGCCTTTTCAAGATCGGGAAGTTTTTTGCTTGGTTCAATTGGAAATAGGAAGTGGTTTTTGGGTGCGAGGCATTATTTATAGCGGCGGAGTTACGAAATAATCTTATACGTTCGTGCGATCGACGGTGGATATGGAATCTGCTTTGCTTAACTGGGCCCTCATATTTGATCAGCTCAGAATAAAAAACAGCGAGGTTTGTGGAAGTTTCGGGAAAAGACCTGACGACTCGATACGAGTTTGTCGACACCAGCAGAGTAGCTTCGTGCCATTCAGTCAGTGTGAGGCGTGAAATGCTTCTGTGGGGCCCACGATAACGCATGTGGGCCCTGATCTGTGTTTCGGATAGATGCCGCGCTCGAATGGGCTTTGCTTTAACTCTGTTCTCCTCGCCCGCCCCAATTGATCTATTTTTTAATGAAAGAAAATTAGATAAGCCTCAGCAGTACGATTAACAACATCAACATGATATCTAAAGTATCAATTTTAAGAAGACAATAAATTAATATTTTAAAAATAAAAATAAAATAAACAAAAGTTGTACTATATAACTTGGAGTCTCTCTGAACGCGCTTCCGCGCATGGGCGAAGTTTTTTTAAAAAAGATTTAAATTTATTTTAAAATTAAAAAATATAATAGGTAGTTGTGTTCTATAAAAATAGAATTCATTATTTAATTTTTCTTTCAATATGAATTTTTTTTAATATAAAAAAATTTGAAATTACCATATTATTCTCATTTAATTAATAATTTTAATTCTTAATGTTTGAATTTAAAAATGACATTTTCTGATATTTTGAATGTTTCACTATTCTTTATCTTTTGCTTCATGTATATATAGATTAACCCATATCACTACAATTAACTATAAATCCAAATAAAGCCCACTAATCCAAACAAAGGCCACATGCATGAATATGTTTTTGTACTATGAAGAAAATCATCGCTTATTATATTAACTTTTTTGTTTTGGATCTATATATGTTTGTCTTATGTGTTATCATCGCCTTTAGTGGCAGAGGCGGCTAGGAAAGTAACCCATAATAAAAATTAGTATATTGAACGTCAACTTATCTTAAATTCCCCATCAACTTCATTACTTTCTTTCAGCAGATGGAGATAGAATAAAAGAAAACAAGTGTGTTGTTCAACCACGCACCGTCGGTAGCCGTTGTTTAAACTTTAAAGCAAAAAGCAAGTGCATACATACAAATAATGATCAAAGCAATAACTAGTATTCAGAACTGATGCTGCCCTTCCTAAAATCATATCCTATCCTTTTTGCTGTTGACGATAACATAATAATAAAAAAGACTAACGCCAAAACGCACAGCACCACCATGATGATGCCATCTCCCACTCTACTCAATCATCATCATCATCCTTAACCCTTGGTTTATAAAATGCTTAGTATATGGGCAAAAGCATTCCCCAGTATGCCACATTAGACACTTCTAACAGTTGTCCCCATTAAAATTTACATCTTAAAATTCCACAAGTATGGGAAAATCCAGTCCAGCAGACAGCAAATGCTGCAAATTTTCAGACGGCTTGGGATTTCTGGCGCTTCGTGTACTGGAGAATAGGCTCCTTGACCTGCGCAGAAGAGGGCAAAGATAAGTACAAGATACTAGAAACATGGCATTGATTTTTACTAGCCATTGTGCTGATGATGAAATTACAGCAAACTGCATTCTGCGGTTAGGGGTGTTCGAATCATACGCACCGTGCTTGTTTTCCTGGATCGCTTGTCTTGGGTGGACCTGCCACTGCATATCACTCTCTCCCCTTCATCAAAGTGATCGGAGTTGCCATTTGCTCTGACGTTCTCGTTGCCTGGCACAAAGCTCTCTCTTGAAGTCACAGGCTGCAAAGTTCAGAAACAAAATTCAATTTTAAACAGTTAAAATTTCAAGAGAAAAATAACATGAATTGGAAATTTGAAAGGGTGGAAAGCTACACTACTAGACTAACCTGAGCCCTGCTTGTTGGAGTGTTTGCATGGTCCTTTGTCTTTGAAGTAGTCTGCTCACTCCTCATGGGACTATTTTGATGACCGTTAGATCTTATTCTCATGCGTGTGAGATCTGATCCAATGGAATGGAGGGCACCGCATGTGGACGTGTCCCGGTAAGTGCTTCCTGATAACAAAAGCAGTTTCAAGGTGCAACGAGCTAAATCCCAAGAAAGAAACTAGAGCCTTAAATTCATTTTTATGCATGGAAAAAAAATCTAATGTTCTTTTACCCATAGTATGGTCTAGATGTTTGGACTTGTTATTTGGTTCAAAATTGTCCACATCCTGTCAATGTAAAGAATCAAAGAAATAATGTAAACAGAAAACAAAAAAATAATTGTCACCGAAATAAAGAGACTATCTGAAAAAAGAAGCAGAAACATGTTTACAAATATACCATTGCATCAATATTCAGAGCTTTCTTGACTTCAGTCAGCTTTTTCTGGGTAGTATCAGAATGGATCACACGCTTTCCTGGTTTAGAAAACAAATGACAATAGTAAGCTGGACATAATTTTATCATGCATAAGTATATGCTATGTACAAAGCTTTTAAGCTGGCAGCAACTACTACACACACCTAGCCTTCGGTTGCCTTTGGCTTCAACAAAACCTTCCCGTGTCATTTTATCAATGAACTTGCGGACAGTAGTCTGATTTGCTTCCCCTCCAAGCTTGTTCTGAAGCTTCGCAACTGTCACATACTGCATCGGAAGAGCATGTAACAGTGCCTGAGATAGACAAATGACAATAGAGTCAGGTAAGATAAAATTGAGAACCCTGCACAATCTTGGTTTAATGAGCTTAGGACAACAGGAAAGTTGTTGGGTGTTACAAATAATTTTATGAATTAGCAGCAGTTTTTCAAAATCCTAATACGTCATGTCAAGACAGGAATTGGAATTACCTTCATGTACATGAGATCATTAACCTTTGGTGTCTTGTCAGAAACTGGGACTATTTGACCATCCATTTCTTCTTTCACCAGAGTGAACTCATAATCAGACTTCTGCAATGTAAAATTGCCACCAGGAAAAAGACTTTGACTTAAAAGCAAGAAAATATGGACTCAAAACTGAAACAAGGAGAAAAAACTAAAGCAACCTTCTGCCCGTTAATAGTGTAAGTGTCCCCTCCAGTTTTTGATAGAACACCTTCCTTAACAAGATTGTCCATAATTTCTGTAATCCAGCCAAAAAGGATTGAAAAGTAGTTAATATTGTTATAAACCTCCTAAAATAAGTGAGAATGCAAACCGGCAGCTCTAAGTGTATTCTTGAGTTTACCTTCAGTCAGAACCTGCAGCATATTAATAATGCAGAGATTGAGTCAGTGGATTATATGCTAACAATAATACTAAGAGGGTAAAGAGCATGCGAAAGTAACACTTCTGCTGTCTTTCCAATTTTACCAACAATCATTTTTGGCACAGTTGTTCTTCGAGCAGATAATTGAACTGTTGAAATACTTACCACTGAAATGTCTGGAAAATTCGAGAGAACATCAGTAAGTTCAACAGTGTCAGTGTGGCGGCTACTGATCCAGTCCTTTATCCGGGACGATTGTTGTTCATCTTCCACTGAATCCTGAGTGTCATCTACAAAGCATAAAAAACATGATTAGCCTAATATAGCTGTGCAGGAAATAGCCTCAGCCAGAAATAGCTAATCAGTCAGCTCAGTTTTCAAGTTCAAATTCTACTCTCACTCTCATTGTTATGTGAAAATTGGTCTGCTAACTTGGAAATGTGTTATTGTCTTATTACCTTCATCAACCATGCTGTTATCTTCTTGTGGTGCACTGCTATCTTCCTGTGGTTGTTGCTTATCTGACAAAAGAACCATTGTTACTTCCACTAACTCAGACCAACAGCTAAGCAAGTGGAATTACAGTAAAAAGCTATACTATACAAAAGATGCAGAACCCTCACCACCTACAGGCGCAACTATATATCGATCCTCTTGTGACTGGTTAACCTGAAAGTGGTTACAACATATATCATGTTTCCTGTGCAAATTATTTTCTGAAGAAAATACTGAAATCAAATACCATCTTTAAGCTCATTTGAAGCTCTAAATCCAAAGAAGATATAAAATGTGTTAATAAGATCAGGTTACCTCACTGTCAGATTCAGAGTAATCATCCCTTTGCATGGAATCAGCTCCTAAACTCACTTCATCATCTTGAATATCATCATTTTCATCCTCACAAGGATCAAGGACGCTCTTTACCTGTATAAATAACAAGTAACACTAACTTACTCTGCCATATGAATCGTACATTTGAATATCCACCAATTGCAAAGAAAATCACAATTCCTTACCTTCAAAGCTAATACAAGATGCTTACTGTTTACATTCCCAACCTCCATTTTCAAAGGATTTTTGGTCCACGAATTACGAGCTTCTTCCTCTGAGCAGGTTCTGAAGAATGGAGGCTCATACTCTGCTGGCTGCAATGCCAGATAATTGTGGTCATCTTTTCGCAAATAAAAAGAAAGTAATAAACAACAGATGAAACTGAATTAGGAGAAAGCAATTTAAAAGGGTGTACCGTCACATCATCATAGTACAGGAGTTTCATCAGTATGGTCCGCTGGAACAGAAACAAAATCAAACAGTTTGTTGTGAAATCAATACAGATGAAGTCTAGAACATTGCATAATGGCTAAAAAAACCAATTTTATCTTTACCTCTTCGGGCATCCTATCCAGAGTTCTCATCAGTTGAACCAGTGTGCGGACCATTTTACAAGCAGAACTCCTGGACATTATTAACATAGTCCACAAATTCAGAAATTGGCCAAACAAGAACAGGATGAGAATAAAATCTGGAACTAGTTTTCATCGAAGTTACCTCATCTGGTTGGGAGTAATTTCTGCAGTGGAGTTACACTTGAATGTTCCACCCTCTTTCTTGTTCCCAGAGCGACTGATATTCATCGAAACCTCCTGACTTTCAGAATTTGAATAACTGAAAGAAACTGCAGGTCAAGACCATATAGAATAAATCAATTCTTTGAAAATGAGGCCAAAAAAAATGTATAGGCGCAAAAATTCCAACTCTAAATTCAAACAGCATTGAACTAAATTTTACCAATCTACGTTTCTGGTTTAGGTTTAATTAATCAGATTTTATCAAGTGACTTTGATGATTAACATTTGCTATAGCCTTACACGTATATTCCTCAATCATTGGCCCTTCAATTGTTTCGCACACGCAGAACAAAAGCGTTTTCAGGTACTTCTTCTGCAATGCATCGTATACACCTACAAAAAGAAACATAAATTCATAACCAAACAAGAAAATTAAAACCAAAACCTCATTCAAAATTTCAAACCAGTGAGCTGAGATAAAAATTAAGAAATTAATAATCACTGAGTTCAAGAATCTGTACCTTTCTCCATCCAATCAATAAGTCTGCGAGACTCTGCGTCCATCGGCATTAGCTTTTTGATCTTCATCTCTGATGAAGATGTCAACATTTCAAAGAAAATCACCAACCGACAATTAAAATTATAGCAAAATAAATTCTGATTATCAAACAAAATTTACCTAAAGCTGGAACAGACTTATCATTGAAATACTTCTCCGGGAAGAGGCCTCTGATGTAACTAATATTGAATATAGCAATCCGAAGCAGGTTCCTCGTCTGAGCTCAAATCAAATGAAATAGAATAATCAGAATCAATTCATATAACTATTATTGAGAATTTCGTCATCACAGTCGCAGAAAATTTAATTCATAGTAATACGATTAAGATTATATAATTTTAACGCGTTTCCAAAAATATGCTTATACAGTGATTCATATGCTTATGATTCATAAGATTATATAATGGATCTGGAACAATAACAGTTAGCTTCAGATCCATTTACGAATCATCAAGTATTCGTCAAAGCTTATATCATCACAGTCTGTTTCAGCTACGATTTATATTTGAACGATTCGAACTGAAATTTTTCAAAATTTAGCCAAAATTCATATCCAACTTCAACAGGAGAGAGAGAGAGAGAGGAGAGAGAGAGGAGAGAGAGAGAGAGAGAGAGAGAGATTTAAACGAAGGTAAACGAAAATTGAACGAAAACAGATCAGATTTGCATAAATGAAATAGTATCAGCTCGAAACTTCAGAAGAATTTCAAACAATTCAGATTTCTATCACTGCGATCTATTTCCTAATTGATGAGCGATCGAAGGTTACCAGAAGAAGCGAGTCCTGCTCGGTAATCTCCGCTTCCTTCACTTTCTGTGCGACAACCTGAGGAAAACGAAGATGTTGCAGTGAGATTAAGAGTGATTGTAACAGTCGGTAGGAGCATATTGACAAAGATCATCATCAAGTAGAAATGTATAGCTCAGAGATATTTCTCTCACCATTGTTTCAGCGTTCTCAGAGAAAATTGAAAATCAGAGAGAGTGAGAGAGTGAGAGAATGAGAGAATGAGAGCTATGCGTTTGCTTATATAAGGGGCTTGCTTGACGAAAATTTGAAATGAAACAAATGAGGAAAGAGGCGGGAGGCTGTGAAAATTTACAAGTTACTTGCGATAGGGGTTTACAGAGAGCATGCGAAATGCGTTGAGCTTGAGAGAGTCGGTTGGAGTAGTACATGTGCCCCAAAACGAAAATCGGAGTTGTTACGGTTCGTCACTAATCAGTTGCAATCTGACAATTAGGGCGCCAATGCCAACGGTAACACCTGTTTAGTTGCCTCCGTAATCACACGTTAATTAATTTAACTCCATCTTAACTGGGCCTCGCATTTTTTCCTTGTCGGATTCGAATTTAATGAAATACATAAGTTCATTTTAATTGAAAATAATTTGCGTGTTGCAATTTTTTCTAGTTTGATATAAAATAAAAAATATAAAAAAATCGTCTCTTTTACCTTAATTACAAAGCTCTCTCTTTTACCTTATTTGTAGTCTTCTTCTTTTTTAATCATACATGGAAATACAAATAAAATACACGAATAATGTGTATGATTTCAAAATATTCGGAAAAAATGTGTATTACTCGTGACATATATATATGGAAAATTCATAAGGGTATGGAGGAGTATTTTTCAAAAATACATACTTAGTGTATGATAAGCGAGCCTACTAACTAGGTTTTCGTTCAACAGTGTTGGTTTCAGGATCGAAAACTAGTTGGACAAAACTTACATACTAAACTCGACAGTACGAATGAATTTCATTAATAAACATAAAAAGATACACATAGTCAGTGAAGACATAATGAAGCCTTGCCCTCAAATGCATCTTTATCCATAAATAAAAGTTTAACAAATGCAAAAACTAAAACTAAACCAAAAGTAAATGCAATACAAAAGAAAACACTATTTGAAATCTAAAATTTAACCATACGGGGATTAAAACTCTTAAATTCCTCAATTATAGATGCATTAGCAAACTCTCTTTCCCCTAAATAAACCCTGTAATACTCAATTTTAAATTAAAACTATATTAAAGATATATAAAAAATAGAGGGAGAAAGAAGCTGCTGATGTTGGGTAACTAAGAGAGAGAGAAACAAGCTGATGTCACATAACCAAAAGATGAGAGAGAAAATACGGGACCACTTGGATGGGCAGCATGTGTGTAGAGTTTGCTTTTAATTTTTTAAATTTTGGGCTGGACTTATAAACATATGTTGGATTATTTTTTATTTTATTTGGGCTGGGCAGACACCCAACCTGCCCTGTGCACATAACCGCCCCTGTCGTTCAATGACTTAAAGATAAAATCAAAACACATAAAGAGGAGAGAGCTTCAACTTTGTGTCAAATTAAACTTACCATTTTTTTAATGGTAATTACAATCATTTTTTTGTTGCTATAATCATTTGAAATATGCAGAGAGAAAAAGATACTACTCTTCTTCCTCTGCTCATTGTAGTTCAGTCAGTGGAGATCGCTTTCTTTGTGGGTGTGAATAACACAATCTGATGTTGGGTATGAGATGCAAGTGGCCACGTACGCTTTCTCCATCTGCATCTCATCTAGGAACACTCCCTCCGATTGATCCACCGACCCCGAAACCATGAGCCCGGTACAAGTAGAGCACGCCCCTGACCTGCACAAGTGAGGCAACTTCAGCCCTGCGCTTTCAGCTGAGTCCAGAATGTGAACATCTTTAGGGGCATCAAACTCAGCCTCCTCACCATTTGGCCCCAACAGCTTCACTTTGTAAACTGCCGTTGCTGATACACAGAAGGAGGAAGAAGCTTTCAGCCCTAATGCTTTATAACTGCTCCTCGATAGAGAGCCATGCGAATGAGGACCCATAACGAAGGATGAGGATCTACACGGTTTTGCAGTTCTCATGGAACATATGGTTGAAAGTCTTGCTTTTAAGACATTCAACGTCGTCATTTTAACTCCGGTATAGGGTGGCTTTTCCGAGCAAAGTTCGAAGAGAAATGTTACTCTTCTCTTGGGTTTATGCGCGTGCGAATGTTGCATATAAACTGTAAAGGAAACTGAAGTTGTTGGAGGCCAGTGTTGTGGCACCCGAAATCGGGAACATGGCAGCATCATGAAATGTTCATGATCTAATGTCACTACGGCTCTTAATTTCCATCAACTAACTGGACCATCAACTGAATAACACTTCTCGCAAATTCTCTCTTTTTTTGGGTTTAATTAAATATCTCAACTCAACAAAAACACACGTTTTTATGTTGCTAGGGAAGCTTGGCTTCATCTATTAACATTCAACAATGAATACTAACAAAAGATACTGATAACAACAAAGCCTTCAATTCTTTTGACAAAATGAGATTTCTTCAACAAAGAACAATATTCCACCTCCTAACACTTCAAATTTGTATATAACTTTTAAATTATCCGGAATCTTTATTTGTAGGCTAATTTTTTTTATCAAGAGCTTATGTGTCTTCCTTGTATTTGACCCATGTTACACCCATATCAGATCGTCTTTCTCAATGAAAGCACATAATTCGCAACAGAACATTGTTTCCAGTAGCAAATCTAAAAATACAGGAAAACACTCAGAATAGCTTTCACACCGTAAAACCGGTCATTCACATCGAAGGCTCACCTTTCAAAAGGATCACCTCTACATGAGTTCAGAGGATAACAGCAGCAGCTACTCTCTCCCTAAGGTTGAATTTGTTTGCAATTAGTGGCCGAACATCTTCTACTCCAACCAAGCTCTCCAAAAAAGGAAGTAATAAAAGTAATTCTTTATCAGAACGATCATCAAACCAGCTCTCAATTGGTATTCCATTGTCTACTTGGAATCCAAATGCCTGAAAGAAAGCCAGTGTACAAAATTGTTATATCTAAAGAGAACGGAGTCAATACTTCTGAAGAAAGGACAAACTCTCAGCTATCTCATTAACACTGGTCTAAGCATGCCTTAATCAAGATCTTGGAAAGGACTGACTGTATTTCAATTCCAAAGCAGGCAAAGGAACATATTAATGATACACGTGAATGGTTGAAAGATAAGCCATTGACACGAAAAATCTTGGACCTATGAATTTCAACATAACACTATAAAGAGCTTCCTTCAACTCACTTTTATCCAGAAGCTCACTGATCTAAGGACAACCAAAGATACTCCAAGAACTATGCCAAATGCCAAAATATCCATTTAGACACATTATATTAAATTGATCACCTTCAAGGGTTAGTGCACACAAGTCATGACAGCTATTTGGGGAGTGCAGGAATGTTGGGAATAGTATACCTGTGGAGAGTTGTCAACTATGATAACACGTGACAAATCACGACCAAGAACTGACAAATCTTTGAGGTAATTCCCCTCCACAAAAACACAGGAATCACGAAAAACACGATGGCGAAATATCTTCCTTTTTGGGTCCAGCACATTTAGAAGCTGCTCTGCATAAATACTTTGACTAGCTGTAAATATTATGATCTCAAAAAGAGTGGAAACTCTGTCCAGAAAATCTCTGAGATGAGGACGGCATCGGACGTATACTGTGTGCTGCTGGAGATTAAAATTTACAGGAAAAGTGAAGTCTGCATCATCACAAGGTTCTAGTGTGGAGTGTACCAAAGTTTCTGCCAGATCAAAACCAGTCTCAGCATGCAAGTCTAACCAATAGTTCAGTCAATACCTCAGAAAACAAGAGCAGATAGTAATAAAGGACTGAATGTTGTACCATATAAAGAATTTAATGAGATAAAACCAATGCATGCAAATCTCCCAAAAAAACATGCACATTTGGCACCCTTTACAAGGAAAAAAATGAAAAGAAAAATATTTGACTAAAGTTTAATTAGATATTTTGTCAGAATACAAAAAGCTAGGAGAAGATGCTCCTGCACTGATACTAATTCCTACCAAATATAGCTACAATTATTACGCAATGACAGTTCAAATGGAGAAGACTAATGGCTCATGTTCACTCCATTAGTAAATTTATTAAAACGACACGTGAAAAATGGAAAATGACTGAAATATTATTGACATATGTTCAATTTTGATTCTCATCATAACGATGACCAAAGCAAAACATGCTACAAGGAAATTACTGTCTCCGGACACACCCAGGCTATTTTGGCAAAACAAAAGGAACAAAGAACTAGCTTAATGCACATCCGATCACATATCAACAGTTAGTTCCATGAACAATGAGAGGTGTAGTTCAAAAGCTTTCCTATGTCAAGAGTTATGCAAATAATAATACAGAAAACCTGATACTACAATTTTCCATTACTCTCACCATCCAAGTCCAAAACAAGACTAGTAGGAGGGCAACTCCGTGTCTGTTTAGGCAGAAGCATCGGCCGAAAAGTTGGGACAACGGATGACAAATCAGGTAAGTTCTTGATGAATAAGTACGGATCAAAGTCATCAATCTCGTCAAACTCGTCATCATCTGTGTATAAATCAGTTGACATGGGCTCTTGACCATGCTCATCTACACATTCCAACTTAGAATTTTTCATAGCAAGATATATGGCTGAGACTTCAGAAGAAATACTGGCTGCTTCCACAACTGCATTACAACAAGAGTACACGTTATTTATGCCACATATCACAAGGGTTTGTGCATTCTATTTTGCTACATAGATTTGTGTTTGATTTCATTTGTATTACCAGGATATGTTATATTTACTGAAGATAATGTGTTCTCATAGTAACTCTTCTCATCTCTAACCAAGGATTCGGAAGTCTCTTGAACAACATGACCATTCAGCACATCAACTCTCGAGTACTTTATTTCACATTCTTGATGGAAATTGTGGTCTTCATTTCTAAAGAATTTAACAAAATCAACTAGAAAAAGGAAAACGGTAAAGATCATAGACAATCTTGAAAAATCCAAAACACTACTAGATGACATATTTCTAACCATTAATAGAGGAGAAGGAAAGAAACACAATTACATCACCATCAATGTAAAATAAATAAATAAAAAATATTATCTTGTTCATCTACCTTCATTAGCAGGTTCCCCATTGGTGTGCTTAGATATGTGAAAGGAAGGAGAAAATATAGTTCCCAGCATACAATCAGCAGTTTCCTCTTTACAACCCTGCAGTAGGATTTGTACAACTTGAGAAATCTTTCAACACTAAATGCTCAGGCAACGTTCTGTTTCTTTTCTGTTTTTTTTTCTTCTTAATTTTTATTCTAGGAGGGTGAGGTATGAAACATATTGCATATAACACGTTATTGGTTTTATAGACAACATAACTAAGCTGAGCATGGCATAGCTAGTTAATTACCTTATTCTCTATGCAATCATCACTTAAAGCATCATGCTCCAAACAAGTCTCAGCAGTCTCATCACGCATCGAGTCATAATTCATAGTTGAAATGGTTGCGGTAACAGGCTCCCCATTCTTTTTATGATTGCCACCTGAAAGTTGTGATAGGAAGACAACAGTTAAAGTCAGTAACTGGACATGTTCTAAAAATATAAGGTTAGAAGTTTTAAACAAAAATTTCTTAATGTTTAGTATATCACCTGGTAAGTGTTGATGCAAAATTCAATATTATTAGAAGCGTAACTAAGTAAATCACACATGATAAAAGAAAATAATCATACAGGTAGAATCTTAAAAACAAAAATATAAAGACAAGAAAGAGTTTCAGACTTGCCGTTATGATACAAATAGAACCAGACATGAAAAACACAAGAAGTCAATACTACAGTAAGGTACTCTATACAAGCATGAGGAACTTTTCTTGTTTAAACCAGTAAGAAGGTACCATACCAACTCTCTGCTTTCTTGTTGAAGATGTAATTAGATCTGCAACCTTCTTTTCCACAAGTTGCACATTTTCATAGGCTTTCTTCTGAGCTCTTGTAACCCTGGGACTAGCATGGTCTCTAGCAGCAGTTCTTCCAGAACTTTTCTTCTTTGTTTGCATTTTGACCTTGGATTAAACTACTTAATTTTGAGAAGGCTGCAAGTACCGATTTGGCTTTTTAAAAAAAACAATTTAAATTCAGAAATCAGCTAAAGAATGAATCTTCCTATAGTGTATCGGCCAATCAACTTCTATTTATAATTTTGATAGATCACATTTGCAAACTTGGGACAAATGAAAACAGTAGTCTTCCAAAGTCTCTACATCTAATGCAACATACATACATACATTATTAAAAGAAAACTTCAACGGTGTTGGACAACACTCGGAGAAACCGAATAATTAATCAGCAGCCAGAGTGCCCCCAAACTAAGCTCAATTACATAGGGGAAAAAAGCTATTAATTATCAGTTCCAACTCCAAGTAAAACTTAAACCCTAGAAACGCATTATCAAAATCACCAACTGAAGCATAAAACCAGCCATAACTACATCAAATCAATTAACCCACTTCAATTATCAAGCACATAACACAACTTTGGCCACAATTCGACCATGCAAAACATCAAGTCCATAAATTACGCCCACGCTCGCCAAAATAACCAACCAAACCCTAAAATTTAGCTCCAAAAATACACCTCAACAACCAAAAGCTACAACTCAAGCTAAAACAAAAGCATAGTTGAACTCAACTGTCCATACCTGAGTTAAAATCAAGCTGGAAGATGAGAAACCAGCAGCGGAAATCACTATTCCCGAACCCAAACAGTGAGTCGGGAAAGAGAAAAATGAAAAAGATCGTGGTGATTGAAGCTTGAGCATATATGAAAACCCTAAGTTTGTTTTACCGGCTGAAACAGGAGCTTTTGGATTTGGAAGGTTTTCCCTCCAAGGGCGTACTGAAAAGAGAGGGAAAATTCGGAGGGATCGAAAATTTTATTTTGTCTGAACAGAAGGATGAGAAGATAAATAACTATCCCCAAATTTTCTCTGAATTTTTGAATTTTTTTGATCTTTCGATGACTTTCTTACGAGGGTGTCTAATAAAGACTTCTGGACTCGTCGATGCGGATGTTGCTTCATACTCGCTCCAAGATCATTGACACGTGGTATATTTTTTGTTCTGAACGGTGAAGATCGAGCTTCTTGGTTCACTTTGTTTCGTAAAGATGGATGTGAAGGTAGGGAAAGTGTATTTTTTGCTTTCTTGCTGAAATTTTGAAGAGGGAGCCATTTTCTATCCAGATATATTTGTCTTAATTTCATTTACAGAGACACATCTTGTTCCGGAATTTCTAAACTTGACCCACAGTCTTTGGATATTCAATTGTGGCCCTATCTTTCCCACAAAGAATTTGATTTTTTTTATTTTTAAATACAAGCGATAGTCTAAATTATTCTAAAATCATCTAATTTACAAAATGAGGGATCCGAACTTAAATGCAAATGGACGAATTCATTAACATGACCAATTAGCCTGACACATATGCAAATTTGGATCATCTTTAATTGCCTTTAGAATATATGAATTTTTGTTTTTTATTATTTACCAAACTCATTCCCCAAAAAAAATCATATGACTTTTCATATAAGTTAATAGTAGTATAATTTCATTGGTGAAGAGTATGTGGCTAGAGGCTCATATTGAGAGGCAACCAGATTAGTCATAGCTATCAACCAAGGAATACTTTTTCTCATTAATTTAAGGAAAATTTGTATAAATATCACTTGACCTTTTAAGTATGTGCGTTATTACCACCTGAACTTTTCTGGAATGTTGCAATTCACCACCTACATCTAACTCTGTTAAATTTTTTGTTAAGTTTAAAGGTATTTTCGTTCATTCACTATAACTAAAAATAATTATTTTTAAAAAAACATATTTTTAAAAAGTAAAAACAAAAAAAAAGTTAACCTAATTATCAAGAATTTATTTGAAATTCATCACTAACCAAGAATGTTCTTGGTCGTATCAAATTGCACAACCCCCAGAATTGGTCTTTGATTATGTCTCAATTTCGCTACTTTGGGGCCCTTGATATTGTGAAGTAGCCTATTTCAAATCCCTCAATATTAAGTCATGATATGATTCTATAAATATGAATTGCAGAATTTGGTAATAATGTATGCGGTGAATTTGCCTTTCAATTTCGACACTCTATGAATAGTTACAATTCCAACACTTGGTGAGAGAATGGTTGTAGAGAGGGTTCTAACTTCTAAGTGGTGAGATAAAAGAAAAAGAGGGGAGATTAAGGTTCTACATATGTTGATATTAAATGGAGGTAGGAGAAAGTGTGGTATAATTAGGTTAACATTTTTTTTCTTTCTCTTTTTTAAATTATGTTTTTTTTATTATAAATTAATTCTTTTTAGGTACATGGAATTTACAAAAATATTCTTAAATTTAACGGAAACTTTAACGGAGTTAGACATAAAAATTTACAAAGTTCAGATTATAATAACGCATATGTCTAAAAGTTCAAGTGGTATTTATGCAAAATTTTCTTAATTTTAATTATAATATAATAATATTATTATTGCTAAATGTAACAAATATGACGTATTATTTCTTAATCAAACATATCGGATGTATTTTATATTTATTATAAATTTTTTTTTCATTTCATAAAAAAATTTATAGAAAATATCACAACTAAATTAAGAGAAAGACTGTCTGATTAGGCCAATTGGCCAAAAGGAGAAGAAAGAACAATAACTAGAGCTATAACAAAATTCAGCTGTAACTTTTCGGTGGCTTGTATAAATTTCAAAAGTTAGAGGACTGTTGGAAAACAAAAGTTTTATAAAGTTTCCTCGTGGAGAGAATCTTTTTGAAATTTTGAAAGTTCGACCTCATATCGCGAGGAGCACGGATGCTCCACCTACCCCTCATATAGCAATGAAGCATTCCACGTGTCTGCCACGGCATGCAATTAAAATGGCCCATGAAACAGCGACCTATTTTCATCTTTGGGCCAACAGATTGAGGCCCAAAATTAATTTGGGCTAGGTTAGGTAATATAAAAGAATTCAAATACCAGATTTAATTGTTCTGCTCAAGTAATGGGCCGCCCCATTAAGGCTCAAGTAACAAGGATGGACCAAAGAGGCGCTGACCTATGCTGCAGCCCACCTCATTCCATATCAATAAAATGAATGTTTGTTATAAAAAAATTACAAGGATTTTCAGATAAAATTCACACGGATACTGCTTTCGGCATTCATACTTTCTGAAAATCACAGTCTGATACATATGCAAAAATAATTCATAAATAACACGCAAAGATTAATTCTCTAAACATATCTCAAACTGTGATTGGCAAAAAAGTAAAAGTTTCTACTTCTAGGGAAGAAGGTAAGTAGGAGCGGTTCTATAACAAGGGCAAGGTAGGCAGCCGCCTACTCCATTTTTTTACAAAAAAAGAAAAGAAACAAAAAACTTATATGTAATCATACCTATTCCTACCCAGCTCATGTGATGATGTGAACATACGCTCGTGCCTACCCAAACACATAAAAAAAAATTAAAAGCAACCACAAATCAAAGCCCAGCCCACTAAAACTTTTTTTTTAAAAGGAAAATAATAGAAGAAATATAAGCACTGAGCCCTTTTGGCTATGCATGGGCATAGCCGACAGTCCCATCTCATCTTTTCCTTGGCAGCTTTGGCAGTAACTTCTCTCTTTGGGCTGATTATGACTTCTCTCTTGGCAACATCTTCTCTTATCTAGGCAACAAGTTCTCTCCTCTTTAATTATCTTCTCCTATTGAATTTTTCTTAAAATAAATGTATGTATCTTAATTTTAATTTTAATTTAAAATTGAGTATTCTAGGGTTTAATTAGGAATGAATTATAATTTGGGGATTTTGTTGAAATTAATTAGCTCCTTGATTTTAAATATATATATATATATATATTTTTGAGATGTTTGATTTGTTGTTAGTATGTTAATATTTGATTAGAGACATTGATGCTATTATGAGAATTTGTTTTATTTTTTGTTGGGATGTTTGATTAAATAGTTATATTTTATTATGTCGGATCACAATCGGATTCTTTGTTTTATTTTTTTAAAGAAAAAAATAATAATGGGTCATCATCTAGTATAATGTCTCCCATTTGTGATGAGCAAAATTTTGCCGACTCTCCCATTGTTGAGTCTCAAGTTGAAAAAGTTGAGACTCAAAGAGTCAATAGTGGTCAAGATTTTTTTTTTGTTAAGCTTTTATTTATGTATAGAGATACATATTTGAGAATAAGGCTCATTACGTCTCCTCCAAATAGGTGTATCTTTTTATTTTTATAAATGAAATTCACTTGTACTGTCGAGTTTTTAAAGTAAGTTTCACCTAATTGATTTTTAAATCCTGAATCCGCCATTAAAGGCAAGTATTTTCGAATTCGGACCCCAAGCTCACCTCACTTCTTCATCAATGGTTTTTCTTGAGCACAATGTTGTACTTTCACATCGTTCAAGTACGTTGTACGTTAAACTAATAGGTAGTTTCGATATTTAAACTAGTACATGGTACGTTAATTACCACTTGAAGCATAGACATTACTACTGTCCCCGCACATTGTACTTTGGCAGGCCTTGAAGTGATCAAACATAGAAGATATTATAGAAATATAATATAGCATATTCTAAGATATATATATATATATATGTATATATATATATATATGTATATTGAAAGAGTACGTAAATTACTGTAAGTGACTGTATAAATAGCACTACCCTAATATATATATACTATTCTTTCCCATTTTAGTGTTGGACCACAAACAAACTCGTGCATGCAGATATATATATATATAGTGACGAACTTTTTTCTTCAATTATATTTTTGTCTTTCTCTCAATGGATAAAAAACACCCACGTACGCACTCAGATACTGCTAGTAATTTCTCACAAGATTTGGCAAGAAATAAGTTAAACAAATTTTCATGTTTAATGGATGGATCAGTATGCCTGCTATCTGTTCGATAAAATGTACCAGATAAGTTTCTCTTTCTCTCCTCCGTTTATAGGATGAATATAATATTGTACAATAA